CCCATAATATATGCCTACAAATAGCATGAGGAGATCTTTAATTTAATTTACATAGTTACTTTCACTAGGAAATACTTAAGCGCAAACAGACATAGATAAACACCCCCTTCAAATCACCCCATCTCCTTCCAGGCGTGTTAGGCTGCTTTATCATTCAACCACAATGTCTCCCTTTAGGATTCCTAGCTATTGCGGTTAAGACCATAGCAGTCATAAAGCAGTCAGCCCTGCTGCAACACTTACTGCTCCTTCGGTGTAGGCCTACCTGTTTTTTCTGAAAGCATTGAGTCCTATCAACAGGACATTTTGAATGAGACTAATTATGATCCAAACAGCAGACAATCCCAGAGGTCTACACGCACTGCAACATAGATAAAAATGTATGAGGAAAACAAATCTGAAGTCTGCTGATTCAGTTTCATGCATGACGTGCTCCAACTAATACAGAAAGTGGCCCAGGGATCATTTGCATGCCCAAATAATGCTGAAAAATATATTGAATCTGATCAGACGTGATATCATGTTTTGCTCCAATCACGGTCTCCCTCAAGAATATTTGCTACACTGACATGTTGGAATGCCACATCAATGTTATTTGCAGCTGCACCGGGAACCCTGTGATCTGCAGAAAGCGCCTTTATGTGCATGTTTAGCGGAGACTCCAGAGAGATGACTACAGTACATACGGTAAAGATTTTATCGTACACAAATCAGAGAAAATTGCAGAGTTTGCGCTGATGTCAGCTACTTTGAGTAGGCTGGAGATCAGGCTAAGAACCAAAAGGTAAAAGCAGTAAAGATGCTCTCCAGCTCAGCTCAGAGATATATTGCAGTGATAAATTGTGGTTAGCCTCCTGATGTTATTTTGAAGATCCCTGCAATGTCTGATAGTATTTTATATTTAATCAACTCAATGTTTTTTGCACAGCAAGCAAAACTGGGCTTCCTGCCAAGTCAAATAGTTTCATTGGATTACAGTCAATAGTTCCCTTACATGGACAACTTTAAATGTTTCTGTCCAGTGGAGGAAGAGCCTATCTTATGGCTGTCTCATGCAGTTTTCTCCCCTCTTTCTGAGGTAAGAGGATGGGGGGAGTCAAACAAATAGTCCCTGTGTTCTCACCCCGTGTTTGTATGCAGTGCCACGGCCAGGCTTCCTGCCAACTTCTCCTCCTCTTCCCCCCGGATTGCAAAAACAAAGACAAACCACGGTCACCTCCACCCCCCCTGCACCCCAAACACAAAAGGAAGGCAGAGAGGCTGGGTGTGTTTTCCCCCCCATGAACGTGCCCAGATTAGGCCGAGGCTGATGATGAAGACGGCCGGTGAAGAGGTGAAGGATGAAGGGGAGGATTTGAGGTTGTTATTTCACGGACAGTGCCCTCCTCGCCAGCTGGGACGAGGAGTGGCATCCCTCGCTTTCTTTCTTTTCGGTTTTCTCCATCTCCATCCTTTTATGCTTTCAATGAGAGCATTGTACGATCTGCAGGAAGGATATGAGGTCCCATTTGGCGTGACAGACAGCTGACGGGATCAGTGGCCTGTAATTAGCCGGGGATATAGGATATAGACTCTCACCGATCCGTGTCAAAGCCACACATCTATAAATGTATAAAAGATAGACAGAATATGTACAGTATAAACACCAAACCAAACTGCCATGATTTGTTTGCCTGGAGTTATATTAAGGGTGTCCTATCATGCAAAATGCACTTTTCTATGTCTTTTATACATAAATAAATATGTGTCAGGGAACTCACAAAGTGTCAGAAAACAAAACCCTCTCTCTTTTCCTCTGTACCGAAATCTCTAAAAACGGGGGTACAACGGAGCTGATCCAGATTTGCGTCCAACAGGGCGTAATATCAGAAATGTGGGCTGGCTTTACGCCCACGGCCCTATCAGAAACAATGCGCAAAGTTTTTTTGGAAGTAATATGGTCTGTGTTTACATTAGCAAGCATTGCTCATTCTCAGAGCTAACCTGTACTGGAGAGAGTATGAAATAATAAGGAACTCACCTTGTGGTAAACCCGCAAGAGAAGAAGCATTTGAGCTCCATACTGTTTCAGAAATAATCCTTGATGTGGTTTGGAACATGATATGGCGGTTAATCACAGCAGCATTTAGCTGTATCTGCGTAGAATTCTCCTGATCAGATACTCAGCATAAGCTCCCCCCCCCCCCCCCCTCTTTTTATTTTTTAAAGCTTTAAACCCAGAATCAGCACTTCTCTAACAGGGCTGAAATAGAGCGATATGAGGGATGTCTAAAAAGCATGATCTGCTTGGTATTTTGAGCAACACACATCATAGACATGTTTTTTTATACATTTTTATATATCTGAAACACATAATATATGCCTAAAAAATAGCATGATAGGAGATCTGTAAGGGTTATCTATTAGCCTACGTGTGAGGTTTCACACTGGCCTCCCTGGGTGCTATAAATCCAAAGGCGTGAACTATGTGGTTTGGCCCCGGGTGGCCCATTTATTTAAAGAAGGAAAAATTAAAATCCCTGCAGTAGTCGGGGGAGAAGTTTGGACTGAGACATTCATCCATGAAAGACAGAGGTGTGATAAGCCGACTGTGAATAATAGCTGCGTCTCTTCACACCTCATAAATCACATCCATGCTCAATGTGGAATGTGCTAAAAAGTGTCTTAATATGCCTTTTGGGTTGTTAATGTTAATGTGTTATTTATTATTTGCATGTACAGCACTTTGGCTTGACCAAAAAATCGTTTTAAAATGTGCTATATAAATAAAACCTGATTTGATTTGAGTTATCATGCAGAGAAACCAGGGCTGTTATGGAGATTACATCCATGTAACTATAGGACATTTGTATTACTATAATGTATTTACATGCTTTTTATACTTACATATACAAACACAGCAGGATCCCTTATCATGTAATATATTGCCCAAATTGACATATTTTCCAATTACTTTCAGGGTTAAAATTCAGGCAGCTCATTGTTTTTCCTAGCCTTGGTTTTAAACCCGCATAAACCCGATTTTTCTGCCAAGCAAAAACAATCTATAAATGCAAAATTGAGATCATTTGTCACCAAAACATTTCTATTGGTAAACTTGTTTGTTTGCCAGCAGCAGCTGGATTGCACATCCAGAACAATATAGCGAACTAGTAGCATCACATTTCAATTTGATATAGCTGCCTAATAAAGGTGAATTTAGGTGAATTGAACTTCCCAGAGACAGAATTCCAGTACCTCTGGATTGTCAACAGCTTTTATAGTGAGTACATCTTCAGAAGAAACCTTTGTCATTTCACTCCAACTCTCCCTTAGGCCACTAATTGTTGTTTTCACATTTCTCTTTCAGTTCAGGTTTAAACAAAAGAGATACAACTGCTAATAAGCCAGCTTTAAAGATACATTATTTTTCACTTGGGACTCGATTCCAGTCTGTATGCCAACAGAAAGACTGATATCAAGTTTCCATAACAAAGAATTGCAAGGCGAAGAAGTATAACTTTTTTCACGCATGGAAAAAAGAACACTGAAAAAACTGAAACGTTTTGTATTGGGTTAGGTATATAATAACAGAGATGGCAAAAGTATACACATACTTTACTTAAGGAGAAGTACAGATACTCATGTTTAAAAATACTCTAGTAAAAGTAGAAGTACTGCCTAAACTTATTTACTCAAGTGAAAGTAAAGAAGTATGGGTTTCGAAATGTACTTAAGTAATAAGTTTTCATTGGTCCCTCTTCTTTAGAGAAGACCAGGAAATGATGGATACACAGATCGTGTTCAAATCAATAGGCACGCAATGACTCTAAATAATAATGATCACGCCACCAAACACACATTCAAACGAACCAGCCTGTTTGGAAAATGTAAGAAGTAGAAAGTACAGGTGTTAAAAATGTAAGAAGTCAAAGTAAAAAGTCGTCAGAAAAATAAGTAGTGGAGTACTGATATCAGAAACATGTACTTAAGTACAGTATCAAAGTATTTGTACTACACTACTTCCCACCTCTGTATAATAATATTAAGTTGAACCTATATATATATATATATATATATACCTTCACTGTAGTGCATCTTTAAGGTAATGAAGAAGATCCATGCTGTTTTTGTGATTACCCTTCACTGTCCTAAGGGTCTCACACTGAAAAACAGTGTAAATGTGTGTGTGTGTGTGTGTGTGTGTGTGTGTGTGTGTGTGTGTGCGTGCATGGGGTCAGGGTCGGGGGGTACCCGACATACAAGGTTACCCGTGGCGATTAAGCTCCTCTTTCAAACTTGGGTCTCATCTGAAGATGGGCCTTCTCTTTGAAACAGAAAGATCTGGGATTGTGTCAAACCACCACAAGGGTCTCGGCTCGATCAAAACCACCGATGACAGTTTGCTGTTCGGAGATGAGAATCTGCAAAGGACAACGACCTGTGGACCCCCGTTGTCCCATGGGAACTCGTGGAAGGCCCCTTCTCCTAAAACTGGTGCCTCCTCCATCACCCCCCCCCCCCATTGAACCCTTTGATGTCCTGGGAAAGTAAAGCACCACATGGAGAAGGAACTTAATGTCCATGTTTGAAATACACTTTTGATATGAAATCAGAGTGTGATAAGAAAGGTTCAGACATACAGACACAGAGGCAGACACTATCAAAGGTTTCACCGTCTGACCTGTAACTTGGTTTTGATGGAAGACAAGGACGCCGTTTGTTCTTTAATCTGCTTTCTCATACCGAGTTACTGAGGTCCCTCGTGGGAATCAGCTTCAGAACGACTGTGATCTAGCACACAACTCAATCACAGAGCTGCAAAAACAGGGGTGGTTCTGGGTAAAGGTTCCCATTTAGTCTGGACACACTGGAAATACAATGAGAGCATCTTCTTTATCTAATAATGCAGAGCACTTGTGAGACATTACAATTACCAGTGTGTCCAGACAAAACATTTCATTTGACAACTTGTCACAGCTTGCTGGACTAATGTTGGTTCTGAAATGACAACAGCTTGCAAATTCTCCCAAATTCATTTTATTGAGAAAATAACTATACCCTGAGATTCAATTTGTAAACTAACTGTCATGTAGTGAAAAGTTACTATACAAAATCCTGATTTTGTTTTTGGTTAGAACAGATAGTTTAGTGGTCAGCCTTCAAAAAAGAGCTCTGTATTTCATTACCTGACACTTCCAGCCAAATGAATAACTGAAAACATTTTATAAAATGACATTAAAATGTGATTTTTAAGCTTTAAAATTGTCCACCAATAAAAAATGTTTTCAAAAAGTGCCATTGGTTGTATTTCCCTTGCTCTATTGTGCATTTCATTGGATGAATCTCTTCCGCCCTCCAGTGGTTTTCAGTTGCTATTGCAGTTGTGCAGACCCATCACATGTGTTCTGGATGGTTCTGCAGACAGGTGATGAACTCTTTCACCTCTTTGCCCTCAAAGCAGATCAGGTACACTGCAGAAAACAATGGAAACCTGTAGAAGAAAAACACACATTAAGCCTAGGCATCATTTTTATAGGACGTAAAGGCTATGCGACAGTTTTTAAAGAAGTCAATGGACTCACTTGTCAACCATGTCCTTCTTCTTTAGGACCTTGTAGACCTCGGCAGATGTTTGCGGGCCCTGAAGTTTCTGCCCGTTCAGCATTTCTGCCTCCAGCTCAACAATAGACTGTAGAAAAAGACATGAGTTTTAATGTTGTTTCCTTATAATATCAAATAGCATATATCGTATGCTGTTGTTAGAATCAGAATCAGAAACAGGTTTATTACCAGGTACACGTAAGAGGAATTTGACTTGATGTCAGGATGTATACATAAAAGTAAAACAAAAATGTAGAACACAGATAGAAAACTATTTTAAGAAAACTATAATAACATTAAAAAATAATACAAAATATAGCAGCATTTACATATAACTAGAATGGAGTAAAATATGTGCAGTAATAATAAAAAAAACAGATATTGTGTGCATTAATGTAATGGAGTACACCAAGCTTTTGGGCTACATGCAGTATTTGAGTGTATACAAGTAGATCAATACAAGAGATCTCACTCATTATAACATACTTCAATACTATACATATTATACATTTAAAATAACTGATGCAACTTTAACTGATTGCAACTATTTTCAAGCATTCCTAACTGAATTAATAATAATAATCTTTATTTGTATAGCCCCTTTCATACAATAAGTGCAGCTCAAAGTGCTTCACATAGACATCTCACAGAAAATGCAGTTACCAGTAAAATACATACATACAAACAAAAAATTCATAGAGTAGACATATACTAAATATATTCAGATTAAAGGTACAACGATGAAACGATTAAAAGGAGGATAGTGCAATCACACAATCAGGTGACAGGTTAAAATGAGAGTGCAGTAGAGAGCAGGAGTTTGCTTCCTAAAATGCTAAATAGTACAAATGTGTTTTTTTTTTAAGTCTTCCACCGAAGCTGGCTTCCCTGATGTCTACACAGGTATTTTTGTTCCATAGCTTTGGGGCATAGTTAATGAAAGCTGCCTTAAATTGAACGAATTTATGTTTTTTCTGAAATGGTGAATACAGTTACCAGCCTATAATGGTGTCCAGTTTTCTAGAGTTTCTTAAAGTAATGGGACTGACCTTGGACGTGCGGGACAAAGGCCCTCCGCCACTTTGCGGTTCCGTCCCCCGTAGCAGGTGGTGATGAGGTCGGCCACGCCGCAGCTTTCCAGGAAAGTGTCGGAGCTCACCGGGCCCTTTGCAGAAGATCTCTGCGAAGGCCACCATCTCCATCAGACCCAGCCGGATCACCGCCGCCTTGGTATTGTCCCGAAACCCAGCCCGTCGCAAAATCCAGCTCCTACTGCCACGATATTCTGCAACATTTTGGATTAACACGTTAAGAGAGGATAACAAATGTGGAACCTCTTTTAATAATAAGGAATATCTACCTTACCTTCAGAGCTCCACACAGCTCCACTGTGTCACTCGCCTTCACCACAGTGATGCGGAAGTTGGGAGTCTGAAGCAGCTCTTTGAAGATGTGGCCGTTTGCTTCATTTCTTGCCCCTGCATTAAAAAGTGTATCAAAAGGAGGAACACAATGTTGCTTAAAGAACACTCATTATGCAAAATCCACTTTTTCATGTCTCTTCTACATCCACATGTGTCCCCTCTGTGTAAAGAGATTCTGAAAGTTTCAGGAAAAAAGACCCCCTCTCTTTTTGTCCTGATCCATTTATATAAAAATCTGTCTGAAAATGAGCTGATCAGATTTTGGCCACTTTATGATGTCATAACGATTTTTTGGCTTGTGCAACTATTAGCCAATCACCAACCAAGGTAACCCCCCTTGTGTTATTTTTAACCAAATCTCTCTCAGAGGGGCGTGGATCCTTATTTTCATCTAAAGCAGGGGTCACCAACTTTTTTTAGGATGAGGGCTACTTTCAAAAAATAAAACAAGGCTACTTTTACTCCTCTTTTTTTTTGTTTTTTGCAGTGTATATATTTAGCACATTTTAACATTATTATATGCTTACCTTTAACCTTTGTGTGCTGTTTGGGTCTGTGGGACCCCGTTTTCAGTGTTTACTAAAATAACATGTATGCAATTGAATTATTTTAACCTGCTTTATTTGGGGGTGGGCCTCACATCCTCTAGGGGGGGCCTCACATCCTCCAGGGGGGGCCTCACATCCTCCAGGGGGGTCCTCACCTCCTCTAGGGGGGTCTGGGGGCATGCACCCCCGGGAAGATGTTTTTAAGTGAAATGCATCAATCTGGTGCACTTTGAGCACAAAATGAATGTATGGATACAGCTCTCAACAGTCAGATGAAAGGGAGCTGTATACTTTTCAATAATCAAAACATCTTTAGAATATGATCACAACCAATAACAAATCATTTAAACTTGTTTATTCTTATCTTATGTTACCTATTTAGCATTCTATCTTTTTCTTTATGCATATTTTACTGATCACTCCCCTTTTAAACAGTTCTTTGTACTGTCCTATAGTACACATTGGAATGATTTCTTACTTTATATTAAATAGATAAAAGTGTGCTCTCCCTAGCTCTCTCGCTCTCTCCCTCCCTCCCTAGCTCTCTCGCTCTCTCCCTCCCTCCCTAACTCCCTCGCTCTCTCTCTCTCCCTCTGTCTCGCTCGCTCACAGAGGCTGTGTGCTCCTCCGTGGCGATGACGGCTTGCGTTAAAAAAATAATAATAAACATATTTGTAAAGTGGGGGGACAGTACACAAACGGGATTCGAAAAGTGCGGGGGACATGTCCCCCCCTGTCCCCAGTGGAGATTACGCCATGCGTGTGTGTGCGTCAAGTGCAATAAATATATATGCAAGTTTCAACACACACAGTAAAACTCTGCCCTCATGTGCAGTATAGGCTGGCATGATAGGCTGTTCAATGGGGCTGATTGTGTTGTGTAGATTCTGCCAGAAGGAAAATCAACGGGGGAGGTGCCACATTGCTTTTCTTCCCGACTGCAACGCTGGTCCGCAAATCAAGCAAGAACGTGATTGGTCGATATTCATTGTGGGGGTGGGGGGAGGAGGGGGTGTTAGATATAGAGTAAGTAAGTAAGTAGATAGAGTTCGCTATGATGTAGGTTTTGTTCATGCATAGGGTAGATTCTTTAATCACAATTTCCTTTTTTTTTTTGTGTTATTTATACATTTTGGATTTGCTTGGCGAGCTATTTTTAGAACATGCTCCAGCGGGCGACTCACGTTGCCCCTGCGGGCGACTGAGTGCCCGCGGGCACCATGTGGCTACCCCTGATCTAAAGTAACAGACAGAGAATCAGCACTCTGAAACAGGGCTGAAACAGAGGGATTATGGGATGCTGTACTGATCTGATTGGTATTTCAAGCCAACACTCAGAGACATGTTTGTATATATCTAAGACCTATAATATATTGAAGGAGAAAATAGTATAATAGGGGACCTTTAACAGGGAAGTAACGCTGTATTGTTCTCCTTATCTGACCACCAACAGCATCCAGGCAGCTTTTTTTGGCAGCTGAATAGACAAAACGTACCGATGGTGGTTTCACAGAACTTCTCATCTGCGACCTCGCTGGCGATGTTGGCCCCCATAAGGACGCTGACCTCTATCTCCAGTTTCTCTCGGATGATGTCAGAGATGAGCTTCAGTCCATCTGGTCCCCTCATCGATACCCTGGGAGACAATAACCAATTAGAAACCGCTTTGGTTAACTTTCAATTCTTTGGGTTAACTTTCAATTCTCACTGGTATCATTGTCCGTGTTACTGTATTATTTCTGTTTTGCTTTTATTTGACATTTTTAAATTGGTTTTATTGTAACCCATTTTAATTTGTTGTCAGCTTTACTTCAGGGAATTCCATTAGGGTCACTGCTGATGTTTTATCTTGTTCTCTATTTATTTTTATATTGTTGTAATGTTTTCTTCTGTTCTGTAAAGCACTGCTTTGTGCATCAAGGTGTTCATCAAATAAAGTGTATTATTATTATATTATTATTATTTAGAAACAGCTTCTGTCCTTTGACTTAGTGTCATAAAACTCTCTCCTGGAAAGGGTGTTAGTTATGGATAATTTAGGGTTTGATAGCGATAAATCAGTGCGTTGCCTCAACTTCTACATCCCATGATGTCGTGGCCACAAAAACAATAAGTCAGCTGACACTATTTCCCTGTTTCCCTTTTTTTGCTGTGAGGAAATCCTGACATGACGAAGTGGATCTTACTTTGATGAGCGATATCCCGTGGTTCCCTCTGAGATGTGGGGTTTGATCTGATCACACAGCTTGCTGATGAAACTGGTGAGGGATTACAAAGACCAGGATCTTCGCTCCTTTGACGGCTTCTGAGATGTCTGGAACAGCGACCTAGCGAGGAAATAAATCGTCCCTTAATAGTGTCAGATCTTTGAGTATCAACAACGTAGACTCACCTTATTCAAGTCTGGCTTTGCAAATTATTTTTTCTTTAATAAATGTATTTTATTACCAGATTGGTCGCTTGAATGGCACCGTCTTGGGTCCCCATATCATTTTCTCGTTTATACTAACTATTAAATAAAGGTTTTGAATTGAATTGAATTGAATGTGTACATTTCACAGCAAAGAAAACTGGTTAAAAACATCCATAATGATAACAAAAATATAAAATAGGTCTTTATAAGAAAGAAATACAAAACTGATTTAGAAATACGACGAGAAGAATTTGTACAAACAAACAAATTCTTATCGGCCCCTTGGAAAATATCCATATGACGCCACAAATAAACCACACACACACAACAGTAAACGCAAGATACACAACACTATTAATAAAGCTTAATAAACAGATCAATAACTATTCTCTTTTGAAAACGATGCGTTTGCTCATCCTGCTTCTCTCCCACAGGTCAAATCCATGTGAAACTCAAGGAAACTCTTACAGTTTGCAACAATGACAAAGAAATAAACGTGATAACATGCATATGGTCGGATTTAAGTAATCTTATACAATCCAAGTATGTTTCAAGACTGCAGTGAATTGATCATCCGTAGATACTGCTGTTCCTAAATTGGAGAACTTACCACATTCCTGGGCAGCGTGTGACCTGGTAGATATTTTGACATTTTGGTGCTCAGTATTAATGATCTCTGTTAGCTTTCTTCCCATCGATCATCTCTTCATAAACCCACATGTTCACCATTGGGTCGAACCGTTTGGAGGCTTTGACATTATGCCCGATATTTTGGCAATAGGAAGAGCCCCTGGAGGGAGTTCAGGACAAAAGTAGACAATTAGGGGAAAACTATAGCATTAACCGGAGAAAAAGGTCTCATTCAATTCAAACTACACTTTTACTGCGTCAAACACTTTTGAAATTAGGTCCAAGCAGGTCGGAAAGTAAACATTTCCCATAAATATAAGGGATGTGATTTGCAATAAATGAATAGAGGACAAAAAACACTTTAGTTTCAACAAATAAATGTATAATAGTAATACATATATATTTAAATAAAACTGTAAATACAATAAATAAGGATGCTTAATTTAAAAAAAATCAAACAATTTAAAATAAATGTTCTTAAAACAGAGATTAGCACTTCATATTTTTATAACCATGCAGGACAACATCTACTTAAATTAATGAAGGTTGTGCATTTTTCTATTGTTTAACCTTTTTATTTCAACATATCTTTTATTTCAGTTTATTTAAAGTATTTATTTATCAGATCCTGTATTTATGAATGCATTTTCTTTATTAAGTCATGCAGTCCTCCCTATTGAAACACATTGTGCACTTAAAAAAGGGAAATCAAATGGTGTGTCACGTGTGCATTTAGGGCTAACACTTTGATAAGTATCTACAAGGTGATTTATGTGTCAGGCAGCAGACAGAATAACCGTATCTGAGCTAACATGAGCAATGCTTGTAGCTTTATCCTGGAGGTCGGTAAGAAGATGCTGTCAGCAGACTGGATCATTCAACAGCTGGATTTTAACTTTCGCATTTTTTATTGAGATGTATAAAAGAGTAATACATTAGACTTATGCATTTTGACGATATTTGGTCTGATATCTGCTAAATATCCATCCGAGTTCAGTTACGCGATTTGCTAGCAGTACAGTCCCCATTCATAAATAGTATGTCTGTGGAAGAGGCATTAATATACAGATGTTAATTTACCAGTTTTCCAGATCCCACGATGCACACTTTCTTTGCAGGCATATTGCGAAAATGCGAATCCTATTGCTGGTTGAAGCGGTTGCTTTTGTTTATCCCTGGTATAATAACTTCCTCATACGCCCTGCTATAAATGTCTATCACCCCTCCCCCCACCTCACCACGGCTACACCTCTTTTTTTCCTCACAAGTGAAAATACCATAATAATGCAAACTACAATAGCTATTTTAACGCTTTATTCTTCATTTTTTCCACGTTATGGTTCAGCCGACCTAAGCATGCATTATATGGATGCACTAGGTGTATAAAGGACAACCTAACGTAGCCTATATTCATAATGTATCTTGATGTTTTTACCGGTCATTTATTATTAAGTATTAGTAATGACTGGACATATGGGAACCTGCCCATTCACATCTTCAATACACTTTCCGGTCAAGATACCTTTCAAAACAATGTTTATTGATTTATTAAACATATGTAAAAACTACTACCTAAGTTATGCTGAGGAAGAACATTTTATAGTATTATAACCATTCTCCTGCAACTAGCTAACTCCTCAAATCACTCATTTAATTAATCGGATACCAAAGTAATACAATTGAAGGAATTCTATATATTTTTGGACTGAAATCTCTGATTTAATATCCTTTTATTTATGTGTTCGTTTTTTATTTAATTTATGATGTAATTGTCCTACAATATTCTCATGATATACTCTTCTTGAGTCTTACACTTTATATATACAGTCTATGGTCTTAAATAACTGTTTCACTTGTATGCGCCTGTTTTTGTTTACCTGAATGTTTTGTTACCCCTTGTCAATAAAGAAACAAACGATACACAGGAAGCTCGCGCTGTAGTCACTGACTGCTTTCCTGCCAGGCAGTAAATATCAGGCGAGCTAGCATACACAGGCTAACTGACTACTCCCTGAATTAGCGCAATTGAAAAATGTTTTATCTTTCGTTTTTCAACTTACCCAGTTAACAGCGTCTGTCGGGTATGGGAGGTGTTAATAAGCGATGAACTTGCTGCTTGTGTTATAAGGTTTTACTTAATTCAATCTGTAGTGACTTAGTGTAGCTAGTTAGCTAGCTTCCCAGGTTAGCTTAACGCCTACAAGCTGAGTTAGCGTCTGTGAAGGGGGCTTCGTTGCTTGTGATTATGCAAGGGGAAACTACGGCTATACGAATTACGGAAAATGAAGGAAAGCTGGGATGTATTACCCCAGAACAGGACCCCAAGCTCCGGGAGAGTAAGTGCCAAAAGCTGGCAGTATAGGTGGGTGTTTGTTTAAATCCTGTCATACATTTTAAACCTTCTGATTTAAGGCGTATTTTCTATCGAGCAAGTTTGTAATAATACACAATGTTCAGTTAATTATCATGTGTTTTCACTGTGCAATGTGTGGCGGATTTGCTCTTAAATTAATGATTAGGAATTAAATGTGCTTTCTAATCTGACAGGTAACAGTGAAATCAGATTGCCCTTTGAGCAAACCTGTCAACGCTGTGTGATTAATGTGTGCATGCACTATGGGTGTGTCCAAGTATCTGAAGTGTCCATTGTCTCCTTTTTGCTTGATAACCTCCAGTGACCACATGGAGAATATCGATGGCTACTTGATGAAATACACCAACCTTGTAACAGGGTGGCAATACAGGTGAGTTTTATATCTGTGTTTTAATATGACACCAAACTAAACAGTATGGTGTCCCAAGAATAAGAAGACACAACCACTTTCAGCCAAATTCCTTCCTGTAATCCAATCCGCCAATCTGGTTGTACGTGGACTGACATTGTATTTGTGTACCAGTTGTACAGTTGTTCATGCATACAAGTGTATCTGAAAGTATTAGTAGAAAAAAACAAGCAAAAATCATTGATGTTGACAAAACGGCATTGTTTCACTGAAATAGCGTTAAAATCACAAATGCAGGTTCTTCGTCTTAAACAATGAGGTGGGCTTGCTGGAGTACTTTGTCAATGAGCAGTCAAGACCCCAGAAGCCCCGGGGTATGCTCCCCCTGGCAGGGGCCGTCATCTCCCCCAGCGATGAGGACTTCTCATACCTTCACCGTCAACGCCATCAGCGGGAGCAGTACAAACTCAGGGGTGGGTACCTAATGCACATTAACAGTCTTATGTCTGATCGTTGCCTAATTATTTTACGTCTTACTGTAATCACCATCCATCATACAGTATTGATCTGAATGTTTTCCATTAGCTGCTCCTAGATGCAGAGAAGCACGCTGAAATTGATGCTGAGTAAGATGCATCGCAGAGTAACGTTAACATGGTTTGGCTTTTTGTGTGTCTCTCAGCCACCGATGCCAAAGAGAGACAGCACTGGGTGAGCCGTCTGCAGATCTGCACCCAGCACCACACAGAGGCCATGGGGAAGGTAAGATCGTGTGCAAATAATAAAAGAGGAGGCACACAAATACATGTAGATTGTATGTATATAAATGACTGGGAACTGTATTTAGAATAGATGTCAGTCAATACAACAGTGTATAATATCCATTTAAGGTTTGGATAAACATAACAATGTCAGGATGTGAGCTGGACATTCTTCAGTTTCATGCTTTACTTCCTCAAATACAATGAAGCAATTGAGCAAAGCGAGATATAAAAAAAGAACTAACCCTAAAATGCAATTAGTGTGTGTCAGCACAGTTATAACTCATATCGAGATATATTGATCTACCATTAAAACGTGAAATTTCTCCGGTATTTCTAAATCCATCGGGCCAATCAAATGGCTCAATCCAATCAAAAATGCATATATTATTGCCAACCTGGTTTGAAAGCGCATATCTCATCCTTTGGTCTCGTGATTCCAGTAGGTGTTTTGGGAATGTCTATCACAGGCGAACCAATCAGAGCCATAGGGCTAAATTACACTAGAACTAAAAACACATCATTCTTTAAGCAGTGGTTAGAAATATTCAGGAGCTGAATGAATTTGGTTTTAAATGATCAGGTGAACAATTTGCCTTGCACAGACTAACCCCCCGCCCAAGTCCCGGAGCTACTCTATGGCGTCTCAGGGCAGCGGCAGCTCACCGATGTCTGTGCGGCGGCCCAGCCAAAACCCTGCGTTGTTGTTCAGCTGGCAGGCCAACAAGGGCTCGTCGCTGTACTCCAGCAAGAGGTCTCTGCTGCCGGACCACCTGATGGAGGCCCGAGAGGTACTGCTGCCACACTCAGTCTCCTGCTACTGTTAACATTTAATATTATTAATATCATCCCAAATCTGCGATTATTTCGAGTTGTAATGTTAATTTCATTATAGTGTCTAACATTTTAATCTATTTTATATGAAATGTCTATTCAATGCTAATTTTATGTTTCTCTTTACTGGTAACTTTATTCTATGTGATATAAATTATCCAATCCTTCCAATCCAACTTTATTTATATAGCACATTTAAAAACAAAAGTTGACCAAGTGCTGTACATCAATACATGTATAAAAAAGCAGCATAAATACATTTAGACAAAATCGATAGGACGAAAATAAACTAATATAAAACCACGAGACAATAAAACCATACTTATAGCCACAGACTGAAAACCCTCATACACGATTTAAAAACACAACAAAATAGAAAACCCCAATTTAGAAAGCACAGACTGATACCTCTTATACGTGGTCTGCAAAAGCACTGGAGAACAAGTAGGTTTTTAAACGAGATTTAAAAACAGGCAAAGTGGGAGCAAGTCTGATCAATTATCTGTGTCAATTCTCTACTGTAAGGCACTTTGGACTCTTGTATGGAAAGTGCTATACAATAAAGCTTATTATGCTTGAGACATCAGGACCAGCACATAAACTGTATTTTGCAAAATGTATCACACATATGCTTTTCTACTCTGTGCTTCATTTTTACTTTGCTTCCAAACGTTGAATATCAGTTTCCTTGACTACCAATCATTTGTATCATATTCGTCCCTAAAACATATCAATACATCCATATTCCTGCCATGGTCGACAAGATATTTAGTGGTTAATTTAAACTAATTACAGTAGGATTTAGTTGCTTCAGATGTATTTAGTGTCTCTCGTGTTCCCTTTGACCCATTTGTATGATGGTCATTGTCCACAAGAGGGTGCTGTTGTTTCTAATAACAGCAGCACGGCTCAGTTTGAATCAATCATGTGTTTTTTTTAGTGCTGTCAAACGATTACAATTTGTAATCAGATTAATCACAGCTTAAAAATTAATTAATCATGATTAATCACCATTCGAACTATGTCCAAAATATGTCATTTCTTTATGTATATTGTTGTGGGAATGGAAAGATAAATGAAAGAAGGCGGATATATCCATTTAACATGTTTATTGTAACATTTTTCTGTGTGTCAAAATGAAAGAGAGCCCCTATCAATCATCAAACCGTGGGGTCTTAATTCATTACGTGTTGATTTCTATCAACGGGGGAGTACTTCAGGAAAGTCGACGGGGGGGGGGGCCAGGGCTAGTGGAGTACTTCGTGACCACAGAGTGTGAACGTTGTGATCAGCTGTTTCAGCGCAGTTCGCCAGTGAAGGGGGGAGTCTCTGCTGTGCAATTCTCGGCGCGAGTTGGCGGACTTTATTTTGCTAACTTTAACATCATTGTTCATGGTGGGGCTAAGCCATTTCTTGGTATGGGTGTAGCCTACCCCAGCCATACCCTGGCGCTGCCACTGGTGGGATGTATGGGGCGGGCCATTCTGCACATGCGTTAAATGCGTTAAATATTTTAATGCAATTAATTCAAAAAATTCATTACCGCCGTTAACGCGATAATTTTGACAGCATTCGTTTTTTTATAAGCTCCCTCAGGACAATATATACAGTATTTGTCCCATGTACTAATAAGCAAAAGAGTTAGATAAAGGTACTCGATTTCAAATGTTTGTGCTGATCTATGAATAAGACCCTTACCTTACTTACAATTGTAGAATTGCTGATTCAAAGACTAATGAATAATTGAGTTGTATTAATGTCTGTTTGTTGTAGCTTCTACACACAATGGTTACACTTTTTTAGTAAGAGGAAAAAATAAGATGTGTAAGGGGACATTGGCACAAGTTTTTAATGTTAAAGTGCACAGATTAAAAAAGGAAAACAATTTTAAAAGTACCTGCACAGATATATATATATATACACACATACATGTGTTTTCACCCTGAATAACTAAACAACCCTCATCATCCGCCTCCAGATGATGACCCAGGCGCAGGGCCAGCACAGAGACGTGATCCAGAGCATCGAGGGTCTGCCCGCGACCCCCGGGTTCTCCCCACTAGACCAGGATCTGCTGATGCTCAAGGCCACCTCCATGGCGACCATGAACTGCCTCAACGAGTGCCTGCACATCCTGCACCTGCAGCAGGTGGCCAGACTGAGGGGCTCCCTGGGAGGTGAGTGGAGGGGGGGGGGGTGTATACATTGTGTGATGGTGCCTGTTCCTGTTTTGTCTTTGAATATATCATTGAGAACAACTTAATGTATGCATAGCAAGAGGGGATCTGCTATTTCACCAAGCAGAAGTGTCTTTTTCTTCCAAATAAAGCTGCTCCTGTGCTGCCTGACGACAAATCTTAGCCTTGAACATGCAGCCCTGCTTCCAATCTAACAGTTTGCCAGACAGTGGAATTATTTTTGCATTATTGATAGGGAGCTGTACCTATTCTTACCACCTGTCTCAGAGGTAATGAGATCTCAGATGGTTAAAACGTCTATCGGCAACACTTTGTTGACAGAATACAGTTCTTTATCTGCTTCATATTCAAAACTATACATTCTAGGGTATTGTTTTGCTGAAGTATCAACACTTTCCAGATTTTAAAATGGGGCAAATGGTCTGGTTGTAGCCAATCAGAGGCAAGGGATGTTTCCATGGTACGGGCCGAAAGTACCTGATACCTGGCCTGTCGGGGGGGGTTAGGTTACACCCTGTTGGTGTAGGGCTGCCGCTTAAGGAAGAGCCATCTGTCCAGTCAGCAGCCAGGCAGCCGTGGGGTGTTTATGTGGCGATTGTAGAGCTACGCCTGTGTGCCAGTGTCAGGGGGACTTGCAAAGGGAGGGGGGGGATAGCACCACGAGTACCTCTAAAACGGCCTCCCATGGCAGGACCCACCATCGAGTGGCTGGAGCCCAAGCTGCCCGACATCCTGAAGAACGGCAGCTCTCTGGACAGCTTCACTGCGGGGGAGGGCCAGCTGGAGGGGGGCGGCCTGGAGCTCAGTAGCCCAGACTCCTGCAGCTTCTCTGGGGTAAGGACATGACACCCTCTCCCCTAAGAAGTTGATCTGACTTCAGTTATTTCCCCTTTAGGCTTTCTGAGTTTTTTTAAAGGAGTCCTATCATGTCTTTTATACATAAATGTGTCCCTGGTGTGTCAGGTAACTCACAAAGTGTCAGAAAACAAAATCCTCTCTCTTTTCCTCAGTACCCAAATCTCTAAAAACTGGGGTACAACGGAGCTGATCCAGATTTGCTGCCGATATGACGTAATATTGGGCTTTACACCCACGGCCCTATCAGAAACGTTGCTGTCAGAAACAATGCCCGACGTGTTTTGGACGTAATATGGTCTTTGTTTACATTAGCAAGCATCGCTAACATTCAGAGCTAACCTGTACTGAAGAGAGCATGTGTCAAAAAGCAGGGGGAAAATACCTTGTGGTAAACCCGCAAGATAAAAAGCATTTGAGCTTCATACTGTTTCAGAAATAATCCTTGATGTGTATTTTGAGCAAAACACATCATAGACATGTTTTTCATATTTGTATATATCTGAGACCCATAATATATGCCTAAAAATAGCATGATAGGAGATCTTTAAGTGACGTCTCCCATGTCATAAACACTAACTTATTATCAACCTCTGCTGAGACATTCGTGTAGGTTGTTGCTTAAATCAAACCCCCCCCCCCCCTTCCGTGTCTCAGGAACAGGAGGACATTGACGCAGAGGATGAGGCGGAGGACTCTTTCACGGATAAGGAGGAGGACCTGGGTGCTGTGGAGGAGGAGCGCAGCGTCATCCTACACCTGCTGTCCCAGCTGAAGCTCGGCATGGACCTCACAAGGGTAGGTCCAGTTCCATGTAGCTCCGAGAGGCTAAACAACCCCCCTTCCAACACATCTTGACAAAACAAGACTAATGGGATATGTTATCATGTTTTATATGGTATAACAGATGGTAAGTGACATTTCTATAGACTAGTCCAGAAAAATAATGTTCGTTACGCCCTACTATTTAGCTGAAGTCAGTTCAAATTTAAAGCTTCAAAAAGCATTTAGTTTACCTGAATTGAAAAGGTTCGTAGTTGCCCAAAATAAATACATTCAGGTCATGTTTGTGTTTCAATATTCTGATACTTTGATTTGTAATGACCTCTCAGGCTGAAGTAAGCACTTCCTGCTTTGTAATTACTGCTCCTGGACACTCGGACACTCTATCTTCCAGGGTCGGTTTGTTCTAGTATTTGGATAGCCTCCTCTTGGGTTTCTGATTTATCGCAGTTATCTGGTGAAATCATGGCTCAGGTGGACATCTAGTAGACGCTGTGACCTCAGGGTCATGTCGAGTGTACGTCAGCCGCTCAATTTACCCATGGTGAATGATCTGATAACGCACCAAATGGAAAAGAAAATAGCATCCAAGCACTACCTAAGATTTACGAAGACAACCAGGGGTAAATAGCGTTGGCAAGGAATCCTGTTAACAGACAGAGATGTTGACATTAAGTATCATTTTTTGAGGTCAACTGTGGAAGAGGGAAAAACAAGTTTGGTTTATTGTCCAACAGACCAGATGGTGGCAGATGTGATGACAAAACCAGCACCAAAGTTTATGTTTGGAGAGTAATCATTTCTGTAAGGTAGAGAACCGTATCATATTTTTTTGTTTAAAGACCACAAATGTGATATCAAGTGGGGGTGTTAACATTCATGTAAATGTGGTATCAATTTGCATTGTAGTTTTGACAGCCAATAACATGTAAGGTTAAAGTGCATGTATAAATAAAGCCACGCCTCCAATGTGAGGGTCCGTTGAACGAAGTACTGCTGTCTCAGACGCTATATTTTCCTCTGCTACACTTGATTGTTTTATCGGGTGCTAACAAATAAATGTCTCTCCTCCCAGGTGGTCCTCCCCACCTTCATCCTGGAGAAGCGCTCTCTCCTGGAGATGTACGCTGACTTCATGTCCCACCCGGACCTGTTTGTGACCATCACCGACGGCAACAGCCCGGAGGACCGCATGGTGCGCTTCGTAGAGTATTACCTCACCTCCTTCCACGAGGGCCGCAAGGGGGCCATCGCCAAGAAGCCCTACAACCCCATCATCGGGGAGAGCTTCCACTGTTCCTGGAGGGTCCCCAGGGAGCCCTCGCAGGGGGGGGCCGACCCTGCCACCCCTCAAGACCCCTACCAAGTGCGCTTTGTGGCTGAGCAGGTGTCCCACCACCCCCCTGTGTCCGGTTTCTACGCTGAGTGCCAGGAGAGGCGGATGTGTGTGAACACGCACGTGTGGACAAAGAGCAAGTTCATGGGGATGTCCATCGGGGTGTCCATGATAGGGGAAGGTAAGCCAGCACTATCTCATTAGATCACCCAGAAGTAAAGAGCCTGGCTCACATTCTATGGATGTGCTCGACTAGTCAAATAAAGTTTGTACCCTCGCCAGAAGTCAAATAAATAATAGTCCTTAAACTCTTATTAAAAACAGCTATTAAATAACTTGATACACTGCCTTCCTTGTCAAAGCATCTGTCGACTACAATTGTTAATGCTAATTTCAAATGGTGGTTATAATATATTAGGCCTTTCTCCAACTCATATGATTTTGTCAAATAACTGATTTGTTGATTTTAGTTTTTGCACAAAGAATCTTTGCAAAAGCACCACTTACTTTCTTGTATTTACCTGAGGTTATTTGGAAATAAGTCAGACAGGCAAAAAAAAGAACTAATCGACTAAAGAAATAATAGAATTATGTATTCTTCGCTAAGTAATATATGAACCTCAAGAATAAAGTATCCTAACTGATAGAACTCTGGTAGAGATTAATTATGGCCAACAGAATGGATGGTAATGAACAAATTAGTTAAGGAATTAGTTGTTTCTTGATTTAATTTGTATCTGTTATCCTCCCAGGTTGTCTGTATTTGCTCGAGCACGATGAAGAGTACACCTTCACGCTGCCTTGTGCCTATGCCCGCTCCATCCTCACTGTCCCCTGGGTGGAGCTGGGCGGCAAAGTCAACATCAACTGCGCCAAGTCGGGGTACTCTGCAATCATCACCTTCCAGACCAAACCCTTTTACGGCGGCAAATTACACAAGTGAGTTCCTCCTGGGGTTTCTTCTTACAACGCCTGCTGTCCCTGTGTCTAATTGTTCAGTCTGAACACAGGGTAACGGCGGAGGTGAAGCACAACACCACCAACGCGGTGGTGTGTCGTGTGCAGGGCGAGTGGAATGGGGCTCTGGAGTTCAGCTACACCAGCGGAGAGACCAAGACGCTGGACGTCACCAAGCTGCCCGTCACCAAGAAGAGCGTCCGGCCCGTGGAGAAGCAGGGGCCCACTGAGTCCAGGTCAGAAAAAAGAGGGTGGATTTGTTGCGTTTTAATGTTTAAATCTATCATAAAAGCAGTGAAATATGTCAGCAGAGATGGCAGAAGTACACACATCCTTTACTCAAGTAGAAGTACAGATACTCATGTTTAAAAATACTCTGGTAGAAGTACTGACTAAACTTCTTTATTCAAGTAAAAGTAAAGAACTATGGCCTTTGGGTTAGGGTTAATGTACTTAAGTAAAAAAGTACCCATAACTAGCAGCTGCTTTAAAGAGTACCTGACCTCCCTTTATATCAATAGAACAATAATGTCATTGTTAGCTAATGAATGTTTCCATGCTGAACAACGGCAACATGACAACGTTTTCATTGGTTCCTCTTCTTTAGAGAAGACCAGGAAATGATGGATACACGGATCGTGTTCAAATCAATAGGCACGCAATGACTCTAAATAATAATGATCACGCACCAAACACACATTCAAACTAAAACCTGTTAAAAAATGTAAGAAGTAAAAGTAAAAAGTCGTCAGAAAAATAAGTAGTGGAGTAAAGTATTGATACCAGAAGAATTTACTTAAGTACAGTAACGAAGTATTTGTACTCCACTACTTCCCACCTCTAGCATTAAGAAGTATAAATCCAGACTACAGTTTATTGTGTAAAACATTCAACAGATATATATCATCATAAAACTCCCTGGGTAAATACGCAAATAAAGCAGTAACTTCTAACATTTGTGCTAAACTTTCTGGAACATAAATGCGCCCGTTGGACGTACTCAATTTCAAAATTGACGTGATTGATGTATCAGAATTAGGGTTTTTCATAGAAGGAACTACAGATCTCCATACATTGGAAAATACTTTTAATAACAGCCAGTAAAAGATTCCATGTAAAAAATAGTTATTTAAATGCTTTAAAAATCAGGCTATGAATATGGCCTCTTAAGATTGTAAAATATATATATATATATATATATATATATATACTTATTACTTCCACAATGTATTTCTTACAATAAGATAATTATTTTATGTGTGACAACTTTTATAAAACATTATATAACTTTGGTGACAAATCTATAGAGAAAATACATTTTTATTTTTTTATTTTGAATGTTATGTGTTAAAAACACTTTATGCAAGCACATTCTTCTCACTCATTTTAACGGTTTCCCTGCCTCCAGGCGTCTCTGGCAGCACGTGACAAAGTCTTTACGGCTGAAGGACATCGAGAATGCCACGGAGCACAAGAGGATCCTGGAGGAGAGGCAGAGGACGGAGGAGAGACACCGTGCTGAGACGGAGACAGCATGGAGGACCAGATACTTTGACAGAGAGGTGAGCAGGAGACACTAAATACATAAATCACCTTCAGCATAATTTCTGTCTCCAACTGGTCAATTGTCCAAGAATCAGCATCACTCAGCGCAGGAAGTTTGGTTATTATTTATGTATTCATCTCCCAAAATAGATTCAGTATTTTCTTCTTTGTCGTCTGCAAATCTGAATTTTTAACTCGACCCCTAAATAAATGATAAGATGAATGACCATTGGATTAAACAATCATGCTAGCTAGCTGCAGAAAATGAAGACCTTAGGCATTAAAGGTGGAGTAGGTAAGTTTGAGAAACCGGCTCGAGATACACTTTTTGTTATATTCCATAGAATGCTCTTAACATCCCGATAACAATGAATATCTTAAGTGCTTTGACAAAAAATCCATAAAAAAAATTCATCTGTGGAAGCCGTAATACTGTAAAAAGTACAACCAATCCGGCTAAACGGATTGGATTGCCGCCCTGTCTGTCAGCCTTCCATCTCGTGCACGCACAAATGTATCTCGTGCCCTCATTGGGCGTGCCGTCATTGGGCGTGCATCAGAGTTGTGGACTCGAGTCACATGACTTGGACTCGAGTCAGACTCGAGTCACAAATTTGATGACTTGAGACTCGACTTGACAAAATCACAAAACACTTGCGACTCGACTTGGACTTGAACACCAATGACTCGGAACTTGACTTGGACTTGAGCCTTCTGACTTGAGGTGACTTGATCATTTAATTCAGGGGTCTCCAACACGCCGATCGCCAGCTGCCGTTAGAAGAGCAGACTCCCGTCGGGGAGAGCAGAATCTCCAGCCGCTCCTACTCTTGCTGAGAATCCTTGCAGGCAGGGGCGGGACTTTATTTAGCTGGGCCACCATGCGGCCAATCATATGCGAGGACACACTAGGATCATACCATTATGTGAAAGAAGGGTGGGGGGCACAGCATGTGTAGTGGTACAGGCCAGCTGCACGGGGAGACGGGGAGCCGGATTTAAATGCAAGCAAGTCGCAACTACAATAAGCATGTTAGTTAATGTTAATCAATACAGCTCCGGTGATCCACTAGCACCCCCCCCCCGTGAATCTGAATTTAAGGCCCTAAGAAGGTCTTAAATATGACTTGGAAGGTCTTACAAATTATCGGATTTGAAAGGTACTTCTGTGTTGCGATAGCGTCTAAATGTGTTTTGGGGGAAATGTCCGGGCTGCAAAGTAACCAGTACGGTAACAGCCTTTCAGTTCCCCCCAACAATTTGTATTGAATTAAATCAACATGGAACCAGTAATCACTAACTTTGTTTCCCCCGGCCCCTTATTGGAGAACACCCAGCTAGTAACCTAGCAACCAAGCTTCAGCTCATGTAGCCTATCTTCGAATCTACTTGCAAATTAATATGGGGAAGTGTCAGTTCAACCGTATTTGGTTGGAAAACATCTAATTTAGTGCTTGGTTGAAACCAGTGGAGGGGAACGTGTTTGAAGCCCGCTGCACCTTTTGCAAAATAAATTAGCGTTTGTTTTGCTAATGTAGTGTTTGCTAATGTAGCGTTAGCTAGTAGAACGTTAGCTAGTGCAGCAGCTCCCGCAACAACAACGGGGAACCTCCGGGCGAATTTGGGTCTACGTCAACCCTAAAAGCGGAGGTGCTGTAGACGCTAAATACCGTGGCTAAACACCAATCATACAACAGCAACGATGACATAGTGTAGCCAAGGCAGCAGAGCTCTGAATATAGCTCTTGTCACACACACACACACACACACACACACACACACACACACACACACACACACACACACACACACACACACACACACACACACACACACACACACACACACACACACACACACTAGGGCTGCTCGATGATGGCAATAATCAAGATTATGTTGGTCAATAATTAATATCACGATTATTAAATGCGATTATTCATTGACTTTGAAAACATCCATTTATTGAACTTTAAAACAAATAATAATTTGAACAGTATCTTTTTAACTGTTGATTACCCTGAACGTATAATTCAACTGAAAAACCAATACAAAAATTAATTAAATAAATAATATCAAAATAATAAATACCAATAAACAAGATCAACAAATATTTTAGAGCGCACTTCCACAAGCTATTAAACATATATAAATATGATAAATAAAAACAAATTAGACTAAAATGAAATGGATCAAAAATGTTGTAGTGCACTGTCACAACCTAGCAAAGCTAAATAATCGTTTTTTCGATTATGTTGTTTTCGTAATTGTGGCAGGCCAAAATCGTAATTGCGATTAAAATATGATTAATTGCACAGCCCTAACACACACACACACATACACATGTGAAGGTAAACTTCTGTTGTTGCAATGTTGAGGTAGAATGAAGGAGTCTGGAACGTCGATTAGCCAAAGCACTGAGAGTTTTATTGATCACAGTACATTAATTACATACGGCCGGGAGATCATCTTAGTTTCACACTGTCCTGTGCTCCACCAAGATAATCTCTGAACCAAAGCCACAAAACATCGCTGCTACACGAGGAGAGGCCGGCCCACAGAAAGCCCGCGTTTACCTAATCAATAGCCGATGGGAGACAATGAACTACTTGTCTCAAAGAGATCCAGACAAGCCTCAACCCTCCCCCACGGATATAGGAGAAGCGTTTGACCTGTGACCTCAATTTACAGAATAGTCTTTGGCTGCTTCTCAGGTCGATTAAATGAAATCCTTGCTTCCCTCACTTGCGTCGTTTCCCTGCGTTTAGTCCCTCCCACCAGGGAAGCATGGAGGGACGCAAGGAAACCACGAGAAGCAGGGAAATGAGTTTTAAGAGCAATGGGACGTCCTTTCCTCCGGAGCGTCACGTGAAGCGACCTCCGTTTGTGATGACGCTGCACAGCTGATCGTCTGACAGCAGCCAGCTCTGTACCCGTTATTTCCACAAACACCCCCGCCTCTGTTAGTGCACATTAACTGACACACACATTAGTATCATCTGTTGTAGATCCAAATACATGAAATAAAATAAGAAGTCATTCTCAAAAAAGATAAACGCCATTCTTAAAATGTATTTAAACGAACAATAGTTTGATTAATATTGATTAGAGTGCACAATCGAAATAAAATAATTGAGAGAAGAAAAAGAGATATGTTATCTATCAAAACCCAGTTAGATTAACATTCATTGGATTGCACACTTTGTTTGTTTGTTTGGATATGTAGCACATTAACATTTTAATAGCACTTAATGACTGACTGAATGGAAATGACAATAAATGAAAATGTAAAACGAAAAAAGCGATCATGAAAATGTTTCCAATAAATGAATAAAATGATTTTTGACCACTTTGTTGTTCAGATATATCACATATTTGTAACTAAATGAGACATTAATTGAAACAAAACACGGTATAAACTGAGGAGTGAGTCCCGTGAGATTCATGTATTTTCTTCACTCCGCTGGGAAACTGCTCTCATGTCAAGAAGCATCAGATCAGTGCATGCACTGCCTCGTCCAATCAGTGAGCGATACACAGTAAGGGGGCGGGGTGAGTATCTGAGGATTTCATCGGAGGATGGTCTGGTGGTTCCTCGGTTATCGCTCCTCCATGATCGCTCCTCGCTCCTCGATCCTCCTGCAGAAATAAGAGCCATGGGACGGTACTCAAGATGGCGCAGGCAAATCAACTTCCGGTGAGACCGAGGACCAAGGAGCGAGGAAATGAATATAGTCGACCTGAGAAGCAGCCTTTGACTGATAAGTCAAACACATGTTTGCAGTATCACAGAATCTAAGAAACTATAAGAGACTCTATAAACAGATCATATTAAAATATTCTCTTACAGATTCACTCTTTTTATCAATCTATTGATAACCAATTAACATTAGTCTAAGAATATTTCAGTCAATACTTAAAATCAATAGGCGTCTTCAGAGTTGGGTGGGCTCAGATACATTCATTACATTAAAAATAGAACAAGATTGAAAAACACTTCAATCACCATGATTGAACACAGTCAATCATAATAAAAATCATCTCTCTTCAGTGCTTGGCATCTTTTGTCAAAAGGCACAATAATAAACACATGGGATACAAAATATTATAGCAAAATATATGTTTCAAAAAATAAGATCTTTTATCATTTATCACTCAGTTAATCTCATTCATCAAACACAAATTCTAAATCAGCTTACATCTCAAAGATTTGCTTTAAGGCAATTACTTATTAAAAACACAATTAGGATTATAAGAAATCAATTGAGGTATAAATCAGAATCATGAGAGATCCAGCTAAGGTTCCTAGTTTAAGGTATACATTCACAGTGATGAATCGATCAATCTGTAAAGTTACAGTGTCCTCAATCTTTAACATTACTTTACGTTTACTTCATTACGCTTTATTCAAGAGTAAGGCACTTAGTAATACATTTATTTCATTCAAATACATTTGTTCAAAATCTGAAAAGGAAAATTAGACATTTTATTTGTATAACAACCTGAAAAGGAAAAATCAGACATTTGTCCTTTAATCAATTATCAAAACATCTGTTCTTTATTCAGAATATCAACTTTAAACAACATCTCAATCGCTGAATGGAGGTACCCACGGGTCGGAGATCACGATGGAGACCCAGGGGTCCGGAAGCTCGGCATTGTACATTAATATTGTGTCCTTTACAGTCGAATGCTCAACTAGCCTCTGTGGGGCCTGGAGGGCAGTCTTGGCAACCCTTCGTATGGCTAATTTAACCACAGTGATCAAACAGATCACTAGGATTAGCACAACCAAGATAAACACTGAAACAGTAACAACACATTTAACCAGCCCCGCTCCCCAAGATCCAAAAGTTCCACTTAATTCCCCAAATGTAAACCCATGAGTTTCATGCAATTCTTTTATTCCCCTGGCAGTATCATGAGCCATGTCCATAACTTCAGGTGTGGCATCAGATATGAAAGAACAGCATTCACTTCCTATCACCTTGCATGTTCCTCCTTGGGCAGCTAAGAGGAG